TACAGGTGTGAGCCATTGGTCCCTAGCAGATTCAGGGATAACTTTGTTAATTCATTTCATCCATCATCATCCATCCATCTCTTTATGTCTCTACATAGCACCACCACCAGACCAGATCATTCTCTTCCTCATTATTACTACCATTATTGTGGTCATTTATCATCTGTCCATCCTTTGACCAAAAGCTATCTACCTGTCTGTCTATGTCTTGACCTAACCACATCCCTCTCATCTATCTGATTTTTTTCAGTTCTCTCCCCATGGGATCAGAAATCTGCACCTGTTCAGTGAGTGGGTCACCCCACCCATATTTTTTGGAGTTTCACATAGGCCCTATATTTGGAAAAGCGGATCTGTTAAAAATGCTGAGTGAGCCCAGCGTAGTTCATCTTAACTTCCTCCTTTTAGCGTCCCATCCCCCATGCGGTGGGTGGGGTGTCCATCCGAGCCTCCCCTGATTCAAAACAAAGGACCAGAGGCCTCTCTAGCCCTCCATTTCCCAGAGGCTTCCCTAGCCCTGCGTTTCCCAGAGTCCATTGCCACACTGTGGGGACCTCTGAGCCCCCCTTATCTGGCTTGGTTCCCTGCAATGCCCCCTAGCCAAAGTTCCAGCTCAGCCCCTGCTCTGGGGAGCCCTGCTGGGGGCTGGGGGGGGGGTGTGACCTTTTGTTCTGCTCTGTGTAGGGGCTTTCTGTTCCTCATTGTTTGGCCATGACAAAGTTGTGGTTTGGTGGTTTTTTTTTTTTCTCTCTACCCAAAAGGATAAACAGGTCTGGAGACTGGAGGGAGGGCTGACCCCCTCTGCTACACCGAACAACAGGAGGGAGACAGGGAGGGGCCTCATTCAAATGATGTTGGGATCCGAAGGCACTTTGGAGGGAGGAGGCTGGAGGGGTCCAGCTGCTGCTCCATGAACAGCTTGGCCCAGGCATGGCCGGCCCTTTCCCATCAGGCTGCTCCGGCCCTGCCGGGAAACCCTGCCCCCATCCACCTCCACCAGATTTCTCTCAGCCCAGTGGAGCCACCCACCTGGTTCCACCGTCCAGGGCACTTTGAAGAAGCCTCTCGCTGCCCTGGGGGGACGTTGTTTGAGGAAAGAGGCAGCTGAGGGGGGTTGGAGGTCCAGTTTGTTTGGGGACCCTGTTGAGGAGTGGACAAGGACTGTATGCAGCAGTTAATATTGTCTGTAGAAGGTGCCCTGAAGGTCCTGTGTTTGTAGGGTACAGAGTTGTCATTGTCACCATTGTCTCCTATCCGCCCCCCCTTCCCCACCCCAGTCTCCCCTGTGGGCCCCTCCCGGGCCCTTCTCGGGTCATCTTTATAGGGTCGGATAAGCAGATCCTGCCTGGCAATGGTGTTTCAGAGCTCTGGGGAAAGTTCCTTGCTGACTTCCTTGTTAGTGGCACAGCCTCCTGGGGCCAGAGACCCACACCACCGAGGGTGGAGAGTGGCTACCCCAGTGCCTTGGGACAAGCAGTGAGGCCCCACACAGGGGTGGGGGTGGGGCTGGGGCTGACTCTTGTTTGTTTTAGGTTGTTGAAACCGGGTTTTGCTATATGATCCAAGCTAACTTTGAACTCATGATTCTCTCACCAAGTATGCTGGGATTCCAAGCGGGCACCACTACGCTTTGCTTAGGTGGCCCCCTCTGTATAGGGCACCAGAGAACTCTCTTGGGTATTGGATTAGGGAGAAATACTGAGTGTGCAAGTGCACCTGTGCGCACAGTTATGCACGCTTTGACTGTGTACATGGGAGTTTATAGTCTAGAGGGAGTTTCGGTTGTTCTGTTAGACTCTGAGTACCACATCTCCTCAAACCCTGTCAGAGCTGACTGACCAGAGCAGGGGTAGCCTCAGACGGGCTGACTGGCCAGGCCAGGATGGCAGGTGCAGTCAGGTTTAGGCTTGGTGGTCCTGGTGCTCAGGCCAGAAACCCACCTCTGCCAGACGTGATATTGGGAGGAGGCCCCTTGGGTAGGTTGGGACTGCTCAGTACCCTTCCCTGCCAGGCTACAAGCTGGGCAGAAAGGCGTCCAGCTACAAGGGCTCCCCGACCCCGAGCAGCAAAGGGGAAGACCGGACTGTGTGGCTCAGGCCTGAGCAGGGCCTGCCTGTCTGAGAAGCTCCCTTAGTGGATATGTGGAATTTTGTCAGACAGCTCAGAAATAGCATGGGGACAGAATTCCCCAGAGGACCCACAGCAGGGAACTCTGCTGCCTGGGTCATCACCCCTGATGGCTTCCAGCTGTTGGCACTGAGTTGCATGCAGCCAGGCCTGTCAGTACTGCTTGTTGGGCTCAGCAGAGGAGACAGGCAGGGCCAGGCCGCCTGCATGGCAAATGGCCAGGTCCACACAGGCTGGAGGTGCCAAGTGTTGTAGCTGCCAGATCCTTCTGATTGACTTGGTGTGGGTGTGGGTGGGTGTGGGTGTGGGTGTGGGTGTATGCGTGTACCAGTACTGGGACTTGAACTCAGGGCTCTTGCTTGGCTTTTTCTGCTCAAGGCTGGTGCTCTGCCACTTGAGCCACACCTCCATTTCTGGTTTTGTGCAATTAATTGGAGATGAGAGTGTCTTGGGCTGGGCGCTGGTGGCTCACACCTGTAATCCTAGCACACAGGAGGCTGAGATCTGAGGACCATAGCAGGAAAGTCTGTGAGATTCTTATCTGCAGTTAACTTTCCAGAAATCTGGAAATGGAGCTGTGGTTTAATGTGGTAGAGTGCTAGCCCTGAGCGGAAGAGCTCAGGCCGAGTGCACAGGCCGAGTTCAAGTCTCATAACCAACAGCAACAACAAAGAGTGTCTTGGATTTATCTCCCTGGGCTGGCTTCAAACTGCAGTTCTCAGATCTCAGCGTCCTGAGGGCTCGGATTACAGGCGTGAGCCACTAGCACCTGGTTTTCTGACTGGCTTCTTTATAACTGTTGTCCAGGGCTACTGGACAGTACTCCACGCTGCCTGTTAGATATTTGAATATCTTCTGTGTCGCCATGTGTTAGGACTGAAGTCCAGAGAGGTTGAGACACTTTCCAAAGGCCTTCTGAGGGTGAGTGGTAGAATGAGGAATTGAAACTTGGTCTTCTTGCCTCTCTACCCCTCTCCAAGGAGAGGACGGTACTCCTTCAATAAACATTTGTGTCATTCCTGTCACTAAACATTTATTATGACCATGTGATTGCAGCTGGCTGGACAATGGGGCCTCAAGCCAGCTCCTGGTCCCTCCCCTGGTCCTCTCGGGGTGACGTCTGTGCGACTTCGGGCTGTGCGTACACCTTCTTCTTTGCTTGTGTAAACACACACAAACCTCTGAATTTGCCTGTGGAGGAGCCTAGCAACACTGAGCGAGATCACATCCCATCCTGCTGTGGTGGTTCATTCATGCTCACATCCTGGTGGTGGTGGCTCATTTATGCTTGTACCTAAGGGACAGCTTTTTTTTTTTTTTTTGATCGGTTGTGGGGCTTGAACTCTGGGGCTGGGTGGTGCCCTGAGCTCTTCAGCTCAAGGTGAGCGCTCTACCACTTGAGCCACAGAGCTACTTCCGGTTTTCTGATGGTTCATGGAGTTTCCTGCCCGGCTTGGCTTTGAACAGTGATCCTCAGATCTCAGCCTCCTGAGTAGCTAGGATGACAGACGTGAGCCACTGGTGCCCGGCTGACGGGTTGTCTTTTGAAGGAAGGCTGGAGCTCAGGGATGTGTGGCTAGTAGTCCTAGAACAGGCCCCGTGGTGGCTGTCACTGTTGCTCTACAATCCAGTGGAGAGAGAGAAACTCTGTGTCTCTTTCTAGTTGTCTATGTTAGAAATGCTGATTTTTTTTCCCCTCTCTCTTTTGACTTTTGGTGGTACTGGGATTTGAACTCAGAGCCTTGTGCTTGCTAGGCAGATATTCTACCAGTAAGCCATGCTTCCCGCTCTCTTCTCTTTCATCCCTTGCTTTGCTCATTCTTTATGGAGGCCCACGGCACAGAGATTGAAATCTTGAGCGGTAAAGTTTGACAGGACAGGTGTTTAAATCTTTCCCTGTCACTTGCTGGCTCTTGAGAGCCATCTTCCTGTTTCCTGGCCCAGGCTAGGCCTGCAGCCCAGAGCCCTTCTTTGTCTGGCCGTAGTGAAGCCTCTTTGGGGTCACACCCTTGTCTGAAGTCCAATCTCTGGAAGCAGAGCCTGAGGTTAGGATTTCTGTGCCTGTGATTGACAGGGGAGGACTCTCAAGGGGAAGGGGTGGGACAGCCAGAAGGGGCGGGGCCAGCAGAGGCCAAAAGATTCTGTCAACTTGCCTGGCCAAACTTGGGATGAGGGATTAGTCTGTCCCATCTTAAGGCTGGAAGAGGGCTGGGAAGCTGGCTCAGTGGTAGAGGGCTTGCCTTGCATGCATGAGGCCCTGGGTTCGATTCCTTGGTATCACATAAACAGAAAAAGCTGGAAGTGGTGCTGTAGCAGTAGCCTTGATCTGAAGAACTGAGGGATAGTGCTCAGGCCCAGAGTTCAAGTCCCCCCCCCCCCCAAGCTGGAGAGCCCTTGTCACCCAATGTAGCAGCCTCGGGGGACAAGCACCCATCTAGAATGGTCTGCTCTAGCCAATGCGATTTCCTGAGGGCCCTGGGGTGACACATGTCTGAAACTGCAAGTTCAATGATGGCACACCACCTGCATCGCTGGCACAGGCAGCTCTGGTTGGAGGGCCTGGGCAGAGGGCAGCTGTGTACCCAGGACTTTGATTGTCTGCGGCCAAGGCCACTGCCTTCTACGCAGCCTCAGAGTTCAAATCTTCCCGGGGAAGGCCTGTGCTTCCACCTGCAGACATGAGTGTGCTGGACTGAGGAGGGAGGCAAAAGAGAGTCAGACACTCCACATTCAGAGAGAAAAGTCCCATCCGTGGCATCTGGCAGGGGGGAGGGGGGGGGGGGAGGCCAGACATTGGCAGGACTAGGCCGGTGTCAGAGGTGTAGCATCCGGGCACTGCCCTGTTCATGGCTGACCTGCCTTCCTCCTAGCAGGTGACTTCGACGTCCTACTCCCAGAGCTCTGGAAACAAGTGCCAGAAGGAAGAATACTTTGAAAATAAGGTCCAGAAGTGCTGCCGCATGTGTCCCCCTGGTGAGGGGCACGCTGGAGTCCTGGAGGGGGTGCGGGGGGGGGGGGGGCCGGGCTGTGGCTTCGACTCTCTCTCAACTCCGTCTGGTGGCATGCATTACGAGGCCTGCGCTGGCTCTTGCCTCTGGGCCTTTGCCCAGCTGCCCCTTCCATCTGGCACACTTCCTAGCTTCTCTCTCTCTAATTCTACTCATCTTTCAACCTCACTCACCCGTCCCCTCTCCCTGCCCTACACTTCCCAGCTGGCTTGCATGCAGCCTGGGGCACCTCATGTTTGCATGATCCGCGTGGTTGCAGCCTGGCGCCTCTAGGCCTGAGACTGTGGCTTGGTCTCCACTGATCTCCCAGCACATGGTGTGTGCCTGGCACATAGTAGGTGCTCAGTGTCTATTTGAACTTGTGGGTGTATACTATACCCACTCTACAGGTTGCCTCCAGACTCTGTCCATCCAGCCATGTTCACACCTGCACTCACATCTATAAAGCCCTCGGGTGTGTTCTGTTCCATTGCTGGGACTGGACAGAGCTCAGGACGCAGGAGCCCTTGCCTTCTAATGGAGACAAATCTCCAATGGCTGTGTGGCCCTACCTGCCAGAAAGTGCTGGAAAGAAAAATCATAGTGGGGCAGGGCATGCTGTTTTATGTGGATAGTCAGGAAAGGTGTCTCTGAGCAGGTGACATTTGGGCAGAGCCTTGCAGGAAGTAAAGGAGCAAGCTGCATAAACCCATGAGGAGTGGCAGGCCAGCAAGCGCAAAGGCACTGGGGTGAGAGGTTTGGTGAGCTTGAGGCCTAGCCAGATCATTGAGTGTGGCTCAGAGAGGGTGACGAGTGTGAGAGAGGAGGAAAAAGAGCAGGCCGTGGCAAGGAGCTCAGATTTTATTCTAGAAGAGTCTGGGAGCTCCTGGGACAGTAGCTTCAGATGTGGGTGAAAACACAAGGCCCTCTTTTTTTTTTGGCTGGTCCTGAGGCTTGAACTCAGGGTCTAGGCACTGTCCCTAAGCAGCAGCAGCTGCTGCTTCTGCTGCTGCTGCTGCTTTTCTTCTTCCTCCTCCTCCTCCTCTTCCTCCTCCTCCTCTTCCTCCCCCTCTCCTCTCCCCTCCTCCTCCTCTCTCTTCCCCCCTTCTCCCCCCTCCTTCTCTCTTACCTCCCCCCCCTTCCTCCTCCTCTTCTTTTTTGGTTGGTTGTGGGGCTTGAACTCTGGGCCTGGACACTGTCCCTGAGCTCTTCAGCTCAAGGTGAGTGCTCTTGAGCCACAGCCCCACTTCCTGGTTTTCTGGAGGTTAATTGGAGATAAGAGTCTCTTGGAGTTTCTTGCCCAGGCTGGCTTTGAACCATGATCCTTAGATCTCAGCCTCCTGAGTAGCTAGGATTAGATGTGTGAACCACTGGTGCCCGACAAAATTAGGACTTTTTTTTATTGGTTGTGGAGCTTGAACTCTGGGCCTGGGCACTGTTCCTGAGCTCTTCAGCTCAAGCAAGCTCTACCACTTAAGCTACAGGGCCATTTCCCCTAAACTTCTTTTGCTCAAGGCTAGTGTTCTATCACTTGAGCCACAGCGCCACTTCTGGGTTTTGTTTTTGTTTTTGTTTTCAGTTGTGGGAGCTGAACTCTGAGCCTGGGCACTGTCCCTCAGCTCGTGAGCTCAAGGCTAGCGCTCTACCACTGAGCCAACTTCCCAGCCCCCACTTCTGTGTTTTGAGTGGTTAAGTGGAGCTAAAGAGTCTCACTGGTACTTTTCTGCCCTGGTTGTCTTTAAACCATGAGCCTCAGAGTCTCAGCCTTCTGAGTAGCTAGGATTACAGGCATGAGTCATGGGGACCTAGCAGGGAATTTCTTACTGCCTCCTTTTCCCTGTAGCTCCTACCCCTAGATGGAGAAATTACTACCAATTGTCAAGAAGAAAGGAGCTGTAAGGGAATTCTTACTAAAGTGTGATTGACTGCTTGGTGGGGGGGCGGTTTTCAGAGGTAGGGGTGGAGTGATGGCTGGGTTGGAACAGTACCATGAGTTCCCTCTCATGGGCTTGGGAACTGTGGACCCCTGGCTGAGCCCAGGATCCTGGGAGAAGCTCCACCCTGCTGAGACCTCCGGTGCTTGCTTTCTAGGCCAGCATGTGGAACATTCCTGCACGGAGACCACTGACACGGTGTGTGTGGACTGCGAAGACAGCACCTACACGAGGATCTGGCACTGGGCCTCCACGTGCCTGAGCTGCAGGGCCCCCTGCGGCTCCGGTGAGTGACTGAGAGAAGCAAGGCCCCAGCCTCCTCCCTCTGGCCTCCTCCTTGTGGCCTCCTCCCTGCCATCACCCCACACTCTGATCCCGCTGACCGACCCTGTGGCTACAGCCGCATGGCCCCTGTACCGGGAAGAGGCTGGAGCAGTCAGTGTGGAGACTGGAATGACCCTGGCTGCCTTCTTGCTTTTCCAGACCAGATCGAAACTCAAGCTTGCACCCGGAAGCAGAACCGGGCCTGTATCTGCAGGCCGGACTTGTATTGCATGCTGGGGAACCCTGACAACTGCAAGCTGTGCGTGCCACTGCGCAAGTGCGGCCCTGGCTTCGGCGTGGCCAGGAAAGGTATGGGGCTGCGGGGGGGGGGGGGGGGAAGGGGGGTCGGGGAGGGGGCTCTGCCTCACAGGCGTCCTGGCTGTGTCCGGACACTGACCAGCCATCGCCAGCGGTGGCCGGTGCATTGGTCCACACCCGCTCACCTTTCATTCTTTGTGTCACCATACCTGAATAGGCACCCACTGTGTGCCAGGGCCTGGGGACCTAGATATGGACCAGACTAAGCTCAAAGCCGCTGGGGACGGAGGAGACAGTGACCTCCTAGCCTAGAGACTGGCCCTGTGCACGTGTGTGTCCATGTGTGTGTGGGTTGTGTGAACATGCACACGTGTGCTTAGGAATGGAGGTATAGCTGGGCGCTGGTGGCGCACACCTGTCATCCTAGCTACTCAGGAGGCTGAGGTCTGAGGATCGCGGTTCAAAGCTGGCCTGGTCGGGAAAAGCCTGTGAGACTCTTACTCAGTAAACCGGAAGTGGCGTTGTGGCTCAAGTGGTAGAGCGCTCGCCTTGAGCTGAAGAGCTGAGGGACAGCGCCCAGGCCAAGTTCAAGCCCCGTGACCGACAAAAGAAAAAAAAAAAAAAAAGAATAGCGGTACAAACAGAAGTGACGGGCCCTCAGCTCCGGGCGTGCTGGAGTTGTCCGCAAGCTCTTTTCTTTCTCTTGAAGGAACTGCGAGCAGAGACGTCCTATGTACCGCTTGTACCTCTGGAACATTCTCCAACACCACTTCATCCACGGACACTTGCAGGCCCCACCGCGTGTGAGTGCCAAGCCCTTGTTTGTGAAGGAGCAGAGCTGGGGGGGGGCTTCAGGGGAGAAAGTCTGCTGACGCCGGCTTCTCTGAGGGTGGCACAAGGGTCCTGGGGCAGGCGCAGGTGCTGTGAGCAGAGGAGGCCTTGCTGAGCAGTGCAGACTGGGCTGGGTCCAGTGTCAGGGAGAAGAAGCTGGCGACAGGAGGGAGCATCCCCAGAGGGAGCGTGCATGCCTTCCCCCTCGCCCGTCCAGCGTCTGGCCCTCTGCTCCAGGATGAGTCAGGTCTTCTTCAGCTTCTCCTCCTGACCACCCTCCTCTTCCTCCTCCAGCTGCGCTGTCCTGGCTGTCCCTGGCAATGCAAGCATGGATGCCATCTGCCTGTCCTCCACCCCGGGCGCAGTCCCAGAGGCGGACCACACATCCCAGCCCCTGACCGTGGGACCCCAGCCTGTGGAGCCCAGGACAGGGCCCAGCCCAGCGGCGAGCACCTCCCTGCTCTTCCCCCATGGCACCAAGCCCCCGGCTGAATCAAGCAGGACCAGCATCTCTCTTCCCATTGGTAAGTTAGGAGAGTTCCTCCCTCCTCCTCTTTCCTTTGCTTTCACCTCTCCCCTTTCCTTCTTGTCCTCTCCCCACCCCCCTTTTTTGTGGTACTGGTCCAGAGGCTTGAAGTCAGGGCCTGGGCACTGTCCTTGAGCTTTTTTTTTGCTCAAAGCTAGTGCTCTACCACTTGAGCCACACTTCCACGCCTGACTTTTTTTAGTGCTGATTTGTAGAGAAGACTCTCCTGCCTGGGCTGGCTTCAAACTGTGATCCTTAGATCTCAGCCTCCTGAGTAACTAGGATGCAGGCGTGAGCCTCCAGTGCCTGGCTTTGTCTCTCTTCTTCCCCTTCTTCCCCTCCCTCCCTCCCTCCCTCCCTCTTTCCTCTCCTTCCTTCCTCCTTTTCTTCCATACTCCCTTCCTCTTCCTGTCTTAGTGGGTCAGATGCTGCCGTGTCCTGGGACACTGGGGGCAGTGGACAGGTAGGTCTCCTCCTCAAACCTGGTGCCCTCATGGAGACTAGAATTCCTGCATGGGACAAGTTGGGTCCTGCTTGCTATTTCTGGTCACATCGTTTGGCTGACAGTGAGCCCACAGGCCTGGTTGACTTCTGGTGATCTCTACTGGGGGTGGACTGAGTGTCCTGGGCCAGAAGTGTCCCATGTGACGGGTGGCCCCAGGCTGAATGTGGCCAACAGGGGTTCGACTTGTCGTCCAGTTTGAGAGCCTTGGGCCTAGGCTGGCTTCTCTCTGGCAACACCTCCAGCTGCCTTGGGCATGGAGCCCTGGCAGAGGGAGGAATTCTGTGTCTCTCTTCCTCTTAGGGCTGATTGTGGGGGTGACAGCCCTGGGCCTGCTGCTGGTGGGATTGGTGAATTGCGTCATCCTGACCCAGAAGAAAAGTACGTTTCCTTCCCTGCTTCCTTCATCCCGTTTTTTTTTTTTTTTTTTTGGGGGGGGGTGGCGCAGGGGGCAGGGGGTCTAGCACTGTCCCTGCTTGGGGGCAGCTTGGAGTCTAAGGCACAGATTCTCTCAGACCTTAGTGGGGCTGCTGGAAGGCATGGAGGGCGCTGGACTTGGGGAGAACTCTCCAGAAAGCGGCAGCCTGGGCGCCGGGCAGCTGTCCGTGGTTGGAGTGAGTGCGGGGAGGAGGGTTTAGCCCATGGCTGCCCAGAGGTGGGAGAGGAACTGTGCTGTGAGCTAGAGATCTGGAAGGTTCTTCTGGGCATCGTGTGTGCCTGGTGACAACAGCTCCCCAAGGCTGGCTTCACCCCACAAGCTCCGCTTGGGCCCCCAAAGTCCTCCTGTTAGAACAGACTGGCCACAGGAATGCCACTCCCTGACCTGTCTCCTCTCTTCTCTTTCTAGAGAAGTTTTTCTGCCTACCGAGAGAAGCCAAGGTGGTGAGTGTCCCTCAGCCCCCACTTCCAGCCTACTTCAAGTCAGACAGTTATGGCAGTCAGTTCTGTGTGGCCATCCAGGCTGGGGACGTGTGCTCAGCCCTGGGTGGCCCCAAGACCCAGGTTCCCACAAGGCTTTTGAAATCAGACAAACTGGTTTTTGTTGTTGTTGTTGTTGGTAGTTGTCTTGGGGCTTGAACTCTGGGCCTGGATGCTGTCCCTCAGCTGTTCAGCTCAGGGCCAGTGCTCTACCACTTGAGCCAAAGAGTCACTTCCGGTTTTCTGGTGGTTTATTGGAGATAAGAGTTTCACGGACTTTCCTTGCCTGGGCTGGCTTTGAACCGTGATCCTTAGATCTCAGCCTCCTGAGTAGCTAGGATGACAGGTGTGAGGCACTGGCACCCAGCTGACAAACTTGTTTTATCTCCTGATTTTAGGGAGGGACAGGACCTGCCCCAGGCCACGCAGCCCCCAGTGCCTTTGCCCTGCTCGGGGATATTTCGGTTCTCATCCCCACCCCCACCCCCTGTGGCCACTTCAGTTCCTTGGTGCTGCCCGGCGGTGTGCAAGTGCCCCGCTCCCCTCGGGGTCACCCACTCTCCCAGCCAAGTGTTGCCCCATCAGTGGCCTGGGAAAGCTCTGGGTGCGGCCCCCTGGCCCCCACTTCCTCTTCCCTTTGCTGAGCTTACATTCACGCAGTGGAGCCACCCAGTCTCTGCCGGTGGAGAGCGGCGTGCAGAGCCCTTTGCGGGGCGGGGCTGGGAACCCCTGGGGGGGGCACCCCCAGCCTGACTGCACCATGGCCTCCTGCCCCTCCCTGTGGTGTGAACACCCCGCCTCGGCCTCGTGCAGTTGTGGTGCTCAGGGGGACAGAGCCAGGCGGGCCCCTCACTGTGGCTCATTCCGTGCCCTCACCCATAGCCAGAGCAGGGGGCCCCAGCCTCCCCAGCGCACCGATGAAGAACTGAGTCTCAGGAGCTCCGCTCGCTCCCGCCAGGGCAGATCGCTCGGCCCGTGCTGTCACTCAGGTCCCACAGTGGACGTGGCCAGGGGCTGCCCTACTCTGCCAGGACTGCCCTCCCTGTGTCCCTCAGCCCCCAGCCCCGCCCCTTGCAGGCCTGGGCCACACCCCCTTGGGTCCTGAGCTGGGGCCCAGACGTGATGCTGCAGAGCCAGGCTCTGGGTGGGACCAGCCGTGGGCCATGCCTACACCCCCCCCCCCCCCCCCCCCGCACACGCTCACGCAGGAGTGCATGCTAGCAACCAGTGGGAGCCTTTGTCAGCGACTAAACAGATGCAGTGCCGGGCTGGGCAATGTTGTTTGTGCTGCAATACACAGGCCATGTGATTGATTATTGACCCAATTTCACAGTCCAAGACCCATGGCCCAGAGAAGTTAAGTAACTTCCCAAAGGTGGCACAGCTGTTGGGAGCAGCCTAGGGTTCCCTGGGAGCATCCCCATCACCCTGCACAAACCTCACCACTCTTTTTTTCTTTTTTCTTTTGTCGGTTGTGAGGCCTGAACTCTGGGCCTGGGCGCTGTCCCTCAGCTCTTCAGCTCAAGGCGAGCGCTCTACCACTTGAGCCCCAGCTCCATTCCCCACTTTTTTGGTGTTTAATTGGAGGTGAGAGTCTCATGGACTTCCTTGCCTGGAACCACAGGCCTCAGATCTCAGCCTCCTGAGTATCGAGGATTACAGGTGTGAGCCCCCGGTGCCTGATTTAGGATTCTTTCTGATAAGTTCTTGCCTCTTTGCCCGTGTCCTGGATTCCAGTCCTATTGTCCACTGCGTTCAGGGCCGGGATAGCAAGCAGGCACCACCATGGCCAGTCTTTTTTCCTCCTGTGATCGGGTCTTGCAGGCTGGCCTTGATCCGTGCTCCTCTGGATCTCTGCCTCCTGCTGAGTAGCTAGGATTAAAGAGTGAACCACCAGCACCTGGCCTGGGGTCCTGTTTTGCCTGAGCCTCTGCAGTGCTCCCCCTACTGGGGCTGGGGAACAAGACCTCGTGGCATCTGAACTTTGCAGCCGGTGGGGGAGGAGGCAGTGGTGACCTTTGAGAATTTCTGTTCCGCCTGGCTCTCACCTCCAGCAGGGAGGCGGGGCCCAGGCCAGAAAAGCCCCTTCTTTAGAGGTTGTGACTTTGACATTTGGATGCTCGTCCCCCCTCCAGGCTGGGGGTGGGTGGGTCTGGCCCGTGGTCCAGTGCTGGCTGGGAACTTGGAATGTCCTCCATCACTCCTGAACTGGGGGACCTGGTCTGCCAGGCTCCAAGGGGAGCAAGAGGGTGCTATGGGCAGCCTGAAGCTCTGGCACACTGGCCTGGCTTGCTCATGCGCTCTCCATGACCAGCTGTGTGATTCTACACACAGGACTCTCCTCTCTGTGCTTCCCTGATCTTGAAGGGATTCCAGCCCCCAGTCTCAGGCTGTGGGTTGGGCAGGCCTCAGATAACAAAGCTCAAGCCTCTGGGCAGCCACCAGACCTGGTGGGCGGGGCCAGGAGCAGGGGCTGCAGTGATTGGCTGGTGGCATCTCTGCCTCCTAGGCCCCTCACAGCTGGAGTTGTATCCCACACTCTGGAGGAAGGCCAGGGGTCTTAGCTCACAGGAAGGAGGGAGATGTGGGCCCCCCCCCAAGCCCATTCCTGCAGCAAATGCTGAGCCTCTGCCTCTCCCACCTGCCCCCACCATGTATGGCACGGCCCACCAGCAGATCCACTTATGCCACGGATCATGCTCACCCTGGCGGTCCAGGTCAGGGTCAAGGTGAGATCGCAGCCATCTTTTTTCTTTCTAGGATCCAATGGTCGCCCAGAGCCTCAAGGGAGGCCCTCAGCCAATGTCTGGTCAGTGTGAGCAAGCTTAGAGAGGACTCTTGTCATGGCTTAAGTGGTAGAGTGCCAGCTTGAGTGAAAAAGCCAAGAGGCAGCACCAGGCCCTGAGTTCAAGCTCAGTATCAGCACAAACCAGTCAAGCAAACAAACAACCAGAAACATGAAAGCCACTCTTGGTTCTTGGGCTGTATGGCCTTGGCCGCGCCTTGTCTACTTCTCATTGAATAAACTCCTCTGTGGGATTTCCTATGTTACTGTCAACAGGCACTGTTCTGGGCATTTGATAAATCACTCTGGTTTAGCTGAGTGCTGGTGGCTCACACTGGTAATCCTAGCTCTTCAGGAAGCTAGATCTAAGGATCATGGTTTGAAGCCAGCCAGTCCAGGCAGAAAAGTCTGTGAGACTCTTATTTCCAATAAACTGCTCAGAAAAGGCTGGAAGGGGTGTAATGGCTCAAGTGCTAGAGAGTTAAATCTCTCTGGTTTAATCTTCATAATGATCCTATGGCATAGCTTACTAATTCCCTTTCTAGGTGAACACACGGAGGCACAGAAAGGTTAGGTGACTTGTCCAAGGTCACACAGCAAATGAATGATAAGAGTTGAGATCTACCCTCATATGCTCTGGATCCAGAATCCATGCTTTTGGCCACACTCCTGGGACTGATGGCGACTTTAGGAAAGTGACTTTTCTTCTCCTTCCTGCTAAATGAATGAGGCTGAGTCGCCCGGTCCTCCTAAACCTCAGCCTCCCACAGGGCAGCTGGGTGCTACTCAGACCCCAAACCACGGTGAATCAGAAGCGTGTGGCAGGGGCAGACACGTCACGTAAACTGTGAGGCTTGCGTGGCAAAGGTGGCAAGCAGGGACTGGGCGCTGACCTCTCTTCTCGTCCTCCCAGCCTTACCTGCCTGCCGAGAAGGAGCAGCAGCACCTGCTGACCACGGCCCCCAGCTCTAGCAGCAGCTCCCTGGAGAGCTCGGCCAGCGTGTTGGACAAGAGGACACCCCCTAGGCACCAAGTGCAGGCACCAGCCACGGACAAGGCCACGGGGCCCGGGGAAGCCCGGGCCAGTGCCAGGTGCTCAGGTGAGAAGCAGCCTGGACTGAGGATAGGGTTCTGTCCCCTGGGCGGCAGTGGCTCACGCCTGTCATCCTAGCTATTCAGGAGGCTGAGATCTGAGGATTGCGGTTCGAAGCCAGCCCAGGCAGGAAAGTCCATGAGACTCTTACGTCCAATTAACCACCAGAAAACCGAAAGTGGCACTGTGGCTCAAGTGGTAGAGCGCCCACCTTGAGCTGAAGAGCTCCGGGACAGCACCGAGGCCCAGAGTTCAAGCCTCTTGTCTGACTAAAAACAAAAACCCATTGGAAGTTGAGAAGACTACCTAGGAGGGAAATGCACATGGCGCCCACCTTCTCTGTAGAACGCTGCAGCCCGGAAGCTCAGCCCGCTGCAGGGCCTCATGCTTCCTCGGTGGTCCTGAGGTTCAGAGGGAGCCTGGGCTCCCGCTGTTAGCCAGTACGGTGGTGGAGGACCCCAGGGCGTGTTGCTACTCCTGGAAATGATCCACTGTCAACATTCTAAGCGCAGTGCGCCACCAATGTCAAGTTGAAAGTCAAACCATGGTCAGTTGCTGGGCTTATGCATTTCTTTTTTTTGGGGGGGGGGAGGGGTCAGTCCTAGGGCTTGAACTTAGAGCCTGGATGCTGTCCTTCAGCTTCTTTTGCTCAAAGCTAGCACTTTACCCCTTGAGCCATAGTTCCCCTTCTGGCTTTCTTTTTTTTTGCTGGTCCTGGGCCTTGAACTCTGGGCCTGGGCAATGTCCCTCAGCTCCTTTTGCTCAAGGCTAGTGCTCTACCACTTGAGCTACAGCGCCACTTTCCCCTTGTTCTGTGATTAATTGGAGATAAGAGTCTCACGGACTTTCCTGCCCAGGCTGGCTTTGAACCAGGATCCTCACATCTCAGCCTCCTCAGTAGCTAGGATGACAGGCGTGAACCATAGCGCCCAGCTCCAGCAGGCTTCTTAACCTCCCTGAGCTACAGTTTCCTCCCCCGGAGATGAGTCATGGCACCTCCTTGGCAGGGCTGGTGAGAGATGAGTAAACTGGGCCCTGCTGGGCACCTGCCAGTCTCCTGGCCTGACCGCTGCGACCACCACCACACCCCGTTTCCCCCGGCAGCCTCGTGCTGCGCTGCCGTGGCTGCCGTGCCCGCACCCCGCTCTGCCTGCCGCACCCCTGCTAGCTGACACCCCCCCCAGGAGCCCCCACTCAGCTCCCACTTCTGTTTTCCTCCCAAACCCCGCCCTCCTCGGGATAATGTCTTGCTAGACTGAACTGTGACCCAGGGCCTGAGCCAGTGCCTGAAGCGGAGCAGGTGGCCCTGCATGCTTACGGAATGAATGAATGAATGAATGAATGAATGAATGTGTCCATATAAACCAGTTCCTTCTGGCGTCTCAGCCGCTTATACCATGTCAGGTGGCTTCCTCCTTCGCCCTGGAGCAGGAACCTCCCCCCTCCCCCCTGCCCCAGCATCTGCCTGTCCCCTCCCCCCTCTGCCCTTCTCTCAGCTGCTTCTCCCTGGCACCCCTCCCTCGCTCCTTGGCCTCACCTTACTCTGCTCCCTGCTGGCCCCTCCCACCCCGACACCCCTCTCCGCCGTGGGACTGCGACAGCCCAGAGCTGGGCCCCGCCCGCCCCCACAGTCTCCTTCATGACTGCAAAGGCCATGGGGGACACTGGGTGACATTTGGGGGTTGTGGAAACATGGGGTGCGAATGACTTCCTGGCCCTTATGAGGCTGCTGTGGGCCTAGCAGGTTGGCCGGCTCCATTCTTCCCCAGGCCTTCCTCTTCAGGGTCTGGGAGGGAGTCAGCCGCCGGGCTGGGCCCCAGGCTGCCCCAGTAGGTCTGGGCTTTGCAACTGCTTGCACTCAGGTCCTCTGCAGACCTTGGTCTGCTTTAGCTAATTACTCCCTTACAACTCTGGCATGAATGGGCTTGGTAAAGGCGGGATGCTGTTGTGTGCAACTGAGGCATACAAGAACAAGTTCCCCAGCAGGACTGGGCTAGAAGCTGGGCTCCTGGCCCCTTGCTCTTTCCCATGTCTTAATTTGCCCCTGGGCACAAAGCAGGCTGCAAAGACAGCCACCCTCTACTCCAGCCTCCCCCTAGACTGACACCTCCCACCTGTGCTTTCCAGAGTCCCCCGGTGGCCACGGGACGCATGTCAAAGTCACCTGCATCGTGAATGTCTGTGGCAGCTCGGAACATGGCTCAAGTTGCTCTTCCCAGGCCAATACCACGGTGGAGGACCCAGATGCCAACCCGGTGGGCTGCCCAGTGGTGGCGGCGGCAGCGGCGGCAGATGAGCAGGTCCCCTTCTCCAAGGAGGAGCGCCCCTTCCATTCCCATACGGAGACCCCAGAGACTCTGCAGAGCCCCGAAGAGAAGCCCTTGCCTCTCGGCGTGCCTGATGCGGGCATGCAGGCCCGTTAACCTGGCCGGTATAGCGCGTTAACACAGAGCCGCTCACCTCCAGCAGGGCAACCCTGCCAAAGGGCCCCCAGGCCTAGGCCTCCCCTCCTCCCCTGGTGCTGGGGCTCTTTCTGGGTCCCTTCTGTGAGGACCCCTCCACTGGGCCTGTGAACTGGGGTGCTGGGGCTCTTGGTGGTTTTCTCTGGGGGTCTGAGAGGCTGGTTGGGGAGGAGGGCCTGTGTGTCACCCAGGAGGAAGGACCATGCTTCCCCCCGAATGCCGGGACTCCTGACTGGCCCCTCTGCGAGGCCCAGCATCATGGGGTACGTGGAAGGCACACCCCTGTAGGACCTGGGGGTCCCTCACGTTTGCTCAGGACTCCAAATCTTCACTTCTTCTGTCTTGTCCTTTGGAACCTTGGTGGGAAAGAGGCCCAGAGGGCCCTGGCAGGCAACCCTTGCCCCGGGCTGCTGCTGCCCAGTGGGACTCCAGGCCCTGGGTTCCAGCCTCAGTACCACAGGGCAGGGATGGGGAAGCCAACAGAACCCCCCCCCCCCACCAGCCCGTTGCTGCCTGCCTGGTTTGTATTGACCTTCACTCTGGGGCACCCCGACTCCAGCCTTCACCGGGGCCACACCTCATCCTGACAGGGAATGGCCTCCACTGGAGAGGTCCCAGGCCCTGCTCCCATCTCGCTCCACCTACCTCAGCCTGGATCTTCCTCCTCTAGCGCTGCGTTGCTCCCTCCCGCGTTCCCGGTGTCTCTGGTCCTAGGGGGAGCTGCAGAGCCTTTCTGGTACTGAATGAGAGAGCCAGTTTGTGTCTGTGTTGCATGTTACGGGTCTGCCCAGCCCACGCTGTCCAGTTAAGTGGCCCACCCAGAAGAGGCTGCAGCCAGTGGTTTTTCCCAACAGAGTTGGACTTTTCCCTATTAGCCCATCTGGTTCCCCCAACCCATGCCCTGATCTGGAAAGAAGGGGTTGGGGGCCCTATTCAGTCTCAGGTACTTGGGTTGATCCCTTGTTTGTGGAACTTGGCTGCAGAAACACGGCCGTAACCATGGAGACAAAAAGGCCTTCCACTTAGAGAATCAGGGTCTCAGACTTGCCCACCATTGGGTCCTGTGTGGCGGTCGGGAGTGTGCCCCCTGGTGGCCAGTTCTGGAAGTACCTTGGGTCTCTGGGATTGCTGAACAGAGCAAGGGAACCATACATTGGAAAGACTTTCTGAGTGTGGCCTCCATTTCCCCTGCTTGTGTTGATCCAAGACGATGAGAGTTTGCACTGGATGCTGGACAGCGTTTGTTCTTATAAATAAATGTTGTTGTACACGTTGGTCCCTGGCTCTTGCTGGGGTCTGGGGTGGCCATTGGTCTTGCCATCCTGCCATCAGTTTGTGTGAGGAGAGCTGGGGCCATGGCCAGCACAGCCCAGAAGGACTCCCCATTACAGCTGCACTGACTGAGAGCCGGGCAGCGCTATGGCTCATGAGCTTCTGGCCAGGACCAGACAGACAGCCTCAAATGCACCTTGCCCCTGCTCTCACCCACGCCCGAGCTCTTCAGCCTGCTTTGGATGGAGGTGGGGTTATTGCAGGACTGCGCTTCACAGCAGCCTCTCCTCTGGAGAGCAAGGCTCTGCCTCCAGGAGGTCCCGAGTGGACAGCAGTGCCCATTAGCTCCAGTCCTGGAGGGCTCCGGGAGCACAGAGGAGGCAGGGAGGCGGCAGGGCAGGGTTCTAGAGACTTCCCATGTGTTCCTGAAGAATGAGCAGGAGTTTTTCAGGACAAAGGATAGGGAGGTGGTTGGAGACAAAGGTTTTTGGATTTGTTTGTCTGGCACAGGGTCTCATATGTTGTCTACTCTGATCTTGAACTCATGATGTGCCCTGAGCTAGCCTTAAGCTCTCAGTCCTCTTGCCTCAGCCTCCACACTGCTGGAATTACAGGTTTGTGCCATCATGCCCAACGTGTGTGTGTGTGTGTGTGTGTGTGTGTGTGTGTGTGTGTGTGTGTGCGCGTGTGTGTTAACAGTACTGGAGCAAGCTTGAACTTGGAGCCTGAATTCTGTCCCTTAGCTTTTTTCGACTCAAAGCTATAGCTCTACAGCTTGAGCTACAACTCCTGGCCTTTTTGGTTTTTTGGTAGTTAATTGGAACTAAGTATCATGGACTTTTCTGCTTAGGCTGGCTCTAAACCATTATCCTCTGATCATACCCTCTTGAGTAGCAAGATTATAGGCATAGCTACTGGCACCTGGCTGTGTGTGTGTGTGTGTGTGATAGTAAGACATTGTGTGTGTGTGCATGTGCGTGTGCGCATGCACATGCTTGCAGGCATGCACCAGTCCTGAAACTTGAATTCAGGACCTGGGTGCTGTCGCTGAGCTCTTCAGCTCAAGGCTAGTGCTCTACCACTTGAGCCACAGCACCACTTGCAGCTTTTTCTGTTTATATGGTGCTGAGGAATCGAACCCAGGGCCTCATGCATGCAAAGCAAGCAATCTACCACTGAGCCACCTTCCCAGCCCAGCTGACAGAGGTTATTATCATCATTACTAACAGCAAAGTGTATTGGCGCTAACTCTCCCAGATATGTGGCCTCTCAGGTTTGTCTGTCTGGACTGACTTTGAAGTGTGATTCTCAGGTGTCAGCGTCCTGAGTAGCTAGGATTGCAAGTGTGAACCATCAGTGCCCAGCAGTGTTCTAGAGTATTTTGCCAGGAAGAGGGTTGCAGGCTCACAGCAGCGAGATGCGCACCCAGCCCGAGTCAAGCCTTGCACTCCCTAGGAGGCTCCACCCGGAGGCCTGCGGGACTTTCTTTTTACTTCACTGTTTTTCCTTCTTGGCCCTTCAGTGGAAGGACACACATCTCCTTCTGTGATGGTTGCTGTACAATCTGTGGTGTCAGCGTTAGCTTTTAGGAACCATTGGCAAGGGAACTAAGAAAGAAAAAGTCCGGGGGAAATGCCTCTTCCTGGGCCTCCACCTCTCCACAAAAGCAGGATAAGGTCCCAACTGGAGTTCCGAGTTTAAAGGCTTGGCTGCCACCCTTGTTCCGCTGACATTTGCCTTTTTCTCTGCTCACTACTACTCCCTCCACATGACCACCATGGTTCTGGATGACCTCAATAGCTGTGTGGAGGACAATACTCAGCCTCTTGGTTCCTGGACTTCCTGTCCTCACCCCGACTCCACCAGACCTTCTATAAAACTTCTAAGCTTTCCACGGTGGCTCAAGCTTATAATCTTAGCTACTTAGCAGATCAGGGTTTCACAGTTCCAAGCCAGCCCAGTTGTTAATAAATAGTTCAGGAGACACCCCATCTCAAGCAATGACTGGGTGTGGCGGAGTATGCCTGTCAACACGCAGCAACGTAGGGAAGCGCAAAGAGGAGGATAGCAGTCCTGGCCAGCCCAGGCATAAAGTGAGACCCTACCTTGAAAATAAATACCCAAGGTAAAAGGGGGCTCTGTGTGTGTGTGTGTGTGTGTGTGTGTGTGTGTGTGTGTGTCTCAAATGGCAGAGCTTTGCCTGGCCTATGCAAGGCTCTTGAGTTCCATCCCCAAAAACGTCTAAATGAAAAAAATATAAAAACGCTTTGTCTAAACAAAAGCTATGGTGGTTTGTGAGAATTTCTGTCCCAAGGACTCAGCTGTCCTGTGAAAAGCGCTGATCACGGAACATAAAAGGTCAGGAAGGAATGGACGGGAGCCCATTGGCTGGGGCCCAGGGAAACCGTCCACGCACACTGGCAGCAGGTGGGTTTGCCCGTGGGATGTAATCTTCAGCCATTCCTGAGAAGTAGACCCTAATAGAAGTGTGAAGCATCTCACGCTCTCCCAACCCTGCTGCTTCCGGTCTTCCTCCTTCCCTGGGACCTGCAGCTGGATGGCTCTGGTGACCCTCAGCTCCCTCTCCCCCATCCCCACATCTTGCCGAATCATTCCGTTAGCTCCCTGCTCACCACTCTCGCACTCTGGTGAAAGCCAGCTGGGCCTGTGTCCTGAGCGAGGCAGGATAGAAGAAGCCAACTACATTAGCTCTAATTTTGGAATCATTCAATGAGAGTTCCTTGAGAGCGCTATGGGTCAGAGACAGCTCAGCCTGCCTCTCTTGCTGTCTTACTTCCCATGGGCTGCTTTAAAAAAAAAAAATAAAGGGGGCTGGGAAGGTGGCTCAGTGGTAGAGCGCTTGCCTTGCGTGCATGTGGCCCTGGGTTTGATTCCTCAGCACCACATAAGCAGAAAAAGCTGCAAGTGGTGCTGTGGCTCAAGTGGTAGAGTGCTAACCTTGAGCTGAAGAGCTGAGGCACAGTGCCCAGGCCCAGAGTTCAAGCCCCACGACCAACAACAACAAAAAGTTGTTTTTTCAAATAAGACCTAATTCTTTTGCCTGAGCAACTCACAGAGTCAGATCTTCCTACCTCCACCTATTGAGTGCTGAGATTACATGCATGCACTGCTATGTCTGACTTGGTTTGTGTGTGTGTATATGTGTGCGTGTGCGCACACATGTGCATACACGTGCTTGTGCCAGTCCTGGGGCTTGAACTCAGGCCCTGGATGCTGTCCCCGACTTTTTTGCTCAAGGCTAGCATGCTACTGCATGAGCCACTGCTCCAAATCCATTATTTTTTGAGTAGTTTATTGGAGATAAGACTATCATGGACTGTCCTGCTCTGGCAGGCTTTGAACTGTGATTCTCAGATCTCAGCCTCCTGAGTAACTTGTTTTTGAAGTAGAGTCTCACTAACTTTTCTGGGGCTGGCCTTGCACTTGGATCCTCCTGTTTCTGCCTCCCAAGTCACTTGCCAGGAGGGGTAGTGTAGAGAAATACAAGCCAGGCTGTGGGTGTGGGGTGGGGTTGGGCAGCGTGTTCAGTGTTTAGAGGAGATGCAGAGCAAGGAGAAGGGACAGAGGGATGGGTGCTGTTATCTTGCAAGCAACCAGCCGTAAAGGGGGCAGGACAGTGGCGGGAAGGACCTGGGCTGGGGAGAGGAGCCTCAGGAGCATTCGAAGGGCCCTGGACAGGGCCTGGCTTAAGAGCTGGGAAAGCGGCGTGATGTCATCTCACTCTGCCCTACAAGCCAGGCACTGTAGAGGAGGACAGAATCCAGCCTGGCTGGGAGTGATACGTGGAGCTTATCTAAGCTGGTGGCTACCCGAGGCTTGTGATCGCCAGTGCTTCAGACATTCATGAGAAAGCCAATGAAACTTCAGAAGCTGTGTGAACACAGAGCAGCCCCACACCCAGGATCTCCACCTGGGAGACACTGCCCCTGAGCTGGGTGGGGTCTGCTCTTTGTCTCCTTGTCTTTCTTTCCAGGTGACAGTGCCATCAGTTCCAGGCTATGGATCTGGGCTTCATAGTTGGCTGTTTAAACATGGTTAAGGTTGGGCACTGGTGGCTCATGTCTGTAATTCTACAGATCTGAACATCACAATTCCTAGCCAGGCTGGGCAGGAAAGTCTGTAAGTCTCTTATCTCCAATGACTTACCAAAAAGCTGGAGGTGGAGGTGTGGCTCAAGTGGTAGAGTGCCAGCCTTGGGAAGATAAAGTTCAGAGCTAACCCTCAGGCTCTGAGTTCAAGCCTCAGTACCTGCATACACACAGACACACGCACATCCAGCACCCTTGTTTCAATCCTCCAAAATCACATGGTTGCTATGAGCAAAAAGTTGAGTGAAAGCATAAAGTTCTGAGATCAAGCCCCAGTACTGGCACAAAAACACCCAAACAAGATAAAGAATATTCAGTCAATAGGTCTTTGTGTTTTGTTTCCTAAACATCTAAGTTTTAACCAACCCTGCTCCCCTGCCCCAAACTTAAACATATGCTCACATTACAACTCGTATATGGGGATGGCTGAGTGGCTCAGCTGTGTTCTCACAGCTGGTTCTCTACCACTTGAGCCATGCCTCCAGTCTGACATTTTGCTGATCACTTGGGGATAGAATCGTATGAACTATTTTGTCTGGGCTGGCTCTTGACTTCAGTCCTCAGATCTCAGCCTTTTCAGTAGTTATGATTACAGGCATGAGCTACCAGTGTCTTGAGTTCTAATTTCAAGATGGGGGGGGGGGTCTTTCTTATGTTGTCCAGGCTGGACTTAGCCTCCTGGACTCAAGTGATTCTCCTACCTTAGCCTCCTAAGTTTCTGGGACTATAGAGGAGTTCAGGCAGCCACTATACCTGGTTACATTTGCTTTTGGTAGTTCCTTGGATCAAACTGTCCACACGAAATAAGAACTCTACAATTAAGATATATCCTCAGCTCTCACTTTGCATTTCAACACTGTTCCTGGGTATAGCTACATATTTATGCTGAATAAT